AAACAGAAAAGCCTTCTCACTAATCACATGAAAGGGCGGAGGGGAGTAATAGTCTTAAGTTCTCCAGTATAATGGTACAACTCAAGGAAAACACAACACTTCGCCATTAGATATTTTTGGTAATAAGGTTTCTTGAAATTGTTGCCCATTGTACTAACTAGTATGATAAAAACCACATTTCTGGGATCACGGCAAAGGAAGGGATTTTCAGGGGAAGACAGTCATTGTGAATTTTCCACAACAGAATGGGACTGTAGCAGAGGTCTTGGGCATCTGAAAAGAGCTCTGAAGGTCTAAGAAGAGGGGGCAGTCACGGACGTGGTTCCATTTTCATGAGCACATCCTGGATGAGTCCACCTGGACCTCCATGTCTAGGACCACTTCCTAAGACTAGTTTGCTTCCTGCATGAATAAGGGTCTTTGAAAACTACCTGCCGTAGGCCATAAAAACAGTATTTTAATTACTCTTCTTTGGATAATTATCTAGTCAGTTACAAGAAAAACAAACTTAGCCATTACTTTTTTGTTGTTAAAAACTTTTGAAAATTGTATATGGAAAATTCTAAACTTTCTCTCTGATCAAAGTTCTTTTTCGTATCATTTTTTTTAATAAGAAGAATATGATGAAAGACTTAATATATTCTAACAATTTGGATATCATTGCAAAAGCTGGGCGAATGTGGAAAACTACACTTTTCAACTGCTCAGGGAAAATAATGAGTTAGTAAGTATGCTCAGTAGGAAAAGAAAGAAACAATTAGAGACACCTGGCTGCCTCCCTCAGGACATTTACAGTTGCTGCTCCATCTTCCTGAAAGTTCTTACTGCTCGTAGCTTGTGTTGAGTCATCATCCAGATCTCAGGGCAAATGTCACCTCCTCAGAGAGGCATTCCTGACCCTCATTCCTGACCCTCAATTGAGTCTCCCCACCCTAACTCTACTGCAAGTCACTGTACAACGTTTGTTGGTTTTAATTTCTTCTTAGCACTTATCAAGATCTGAAGTCACTTATTTATATCTTGCTACCCTAGTTTATCTATCTCCCCAACTAGATTGTGAACTCCAGAGTAGTGACCTTATTGGCCTTTTTTCACTGGATTCTAAGACTAGTGTCCTGATAGATGTGAAAGGAAAATGAGATAGCACAATTGTCAGACTTATGAAAACAAAAGAACTAAATAGGTAGACCGTTTTGAACAGCTTGAGGGAGAGTAAAGCCTTCTAAATTCCACTACAGTAGAAACACTGTTGCAATGTGCTGCCATTAGCTATTAGATTTGTAATTGTTCATCTATAGCATGTGCTTCTTATGAGCTATGTTTGTCAATACCACAACTTTGGGAATCCTAAGGTAGGTAGTACATAGGGGGCTCTTTTCCAGATTCTAGAGTGCTGGCATCAAACAGGACATTTCTGTCACACTAGGTGTATCAGGATGTTTTGGCTTCAAGGTATTAAAATCCTTATTCTGCCTGGCCACAGTGCCTCAATGGTTGAATGTGGACCTATGAACCAGGAGGTCACCATTCGATTCCCTGTCAGGGTACTTGCCTGGGTTGCAGGCTTGATCCCCAGTAGGGGGCATACAGGAAGAAACTGTTCAATGATTCTCTCTCATCATTGATGTTTCTATTTCTCTCTCCTCCCTTCCTCTCTGAAATCAATAAAAATCTATATATATAAAAGGCTAAGCGGCCCTCCAACTGGCTGACTGGCCAGTAGCTATGACACGCACTGACTACCAGGGGGAAGACACTCAACACAGGAGCTGCTGGGCTGCAGTGACTTGGCAGCTGTGGTTTCTTGGGAGATGCACCCCAAAACCAGAGAGGAAAACCACCCTCTCACAATCCGGGACCCTTCAGGGGATGTAGGAGAGCCAGTTTCAGCCTGATCCCTGCATGCCAGGCCGAGGGACCCCACCTGCCAGAGGGACCCTGTTCACTCTGCAGATGCCCAAGTGGCAGTGCAATACCCCAGGTGCGGCTGGCCAGGGAGGGACTGCGGAAGGTTGGCACCAGGGTGTGTCTGGCATGTCTTGCCCAGTGCCGCCCTGCCACCCATCTTCTATTTAATTTCCTTTTAATGTGCACGAATCTGTGCACTGGGGCACTAGTATTTAAACAAACAAATAACTAAATATCCTGATTATGAGTCCAAGCATGAGTTTTATGGAAGGACTGGATCAAAGTTGGTTGTTTTTGCAGCTCAATATGCCATCAAGGACTCAGTCTCTCCATCTATGTTCTGCCATCATTCCATGTTATCCCATCCAGGCAGGACAATGTTTGAGAATGAAGAGTGAATGCTTCCTTTCTTTCCCTAGACTTGCCCCAGTAGACTTCCTCTAGGGTCTCATGGGCCATTTGGGGGTATATATCCATTGTTGAAATAAGTCACTGGTGAGGGAATGAGATTATGAGGAACAATCAGGCTTGTTCCTGAACTGGGGGTTGTCTTCCTTTCTTTTTTTTAATCTTCATTTTATTAATCTTCCTTTCTTTTTTTTAATCTTCATTTTATTAATCTAGAATCTATTTGTTTTTCTTTTCTTTTTTATTTATATTTTATTTTTTAAAATACTTTTTATTGATTTCAGAGAAGGATAGGGAGAAAGAGATAGAAACATCAATGATGAGAGAAAATTGTTGATCAGCTGCCTCCTGCATGCCCCCTATGGGGAATCCAGCCTGCAACCTGGGCATGTGCCCTTGACCAGGATCGAACCTGGGATCCTTCAGTCCTCAGGGCTATGACCCTGGACCCTTCAGTCCTCAGGCCTATGCTCTATACATGATCCAAACTGGCTAGGCTGTATCCCTTTCCCATGGTGTGTGGGGATTACTTGGAATAGCCGGCATCTGTACAGTATTGAGGTTCTTTAGGGAGTGGAGAAGGTGAGAAGTGCTATATACTTCATCTATTGTTCCTTTGTTTGGAAGCAGTAGATAATGATGTTACTAAAACTTTCCCCCTAAATTTTATACTGTTTTATATGATGAGTAAGGACTGGTTCAAGATTCTAGAGGTTTATCTTGTGCACTAGTTGGTGGGATTGCAAATTTTGGCCACTATGGAAAATAGTATGGAGGTTCCTCAAACAATTAATTGATTTCAGAAAGGAAGGGAGAGGGAGGGAGAAACATCAATGACGAGAGAGAATCATTGATCAGCTAGCTGCCTCCTGCATGCCCCTATTGGGAGCCTGCAACTTGGGCCCTTAATCAGAATTGAACCTGGGACCCTTCAGTCCACAGGCCGATGTTCTATCCACTGAGCCAAACCAGCAAGGCCAGATCTCCTTAAACAATTAAAAATAAAACTACCTTATGACCCAGCAATTCCACTTCTGGGTACTTATTTGAAGAAATCCAAAACATTAATTTGAGAAGATATGTGCATGCTGATGTTCATTGCCGCATTAGTTAAATTGCCAAGATATGGAAGCAACTTAAGTGTCCATCAATAAATGATTGGATAAAGAAGAGGTGATACAAAAAAACAATGGCCATAAAAAGAATGAAATTTTACCATTTGTCACAAAATGTATGGATCTAAAAGATATTATGTTAAGTGAACAAGTCAGAGACAGACAAATACCATATGATTTCACTCATATGAGGAATCTAAAGAACAAAATAAATGAACAAACAAAACAGAAAGAGACTCATAAGACACAAAGAACAAACTGACAGTTGCCAGATGGGAGAGGATTGAGGGGCTGGGTGGAAAAGGTGAAGGAATTAAGAAGAACAAATAGGTACTTAGTTATAAAAGAGTCATGGGATGAAAGGACAGTATAGGGAATATAGTCAATAATATTGTAACGACTATGTATAGTGCCAGATGGGTTCTTGAAACATTGGGGGAATCACTTTGTAAATTATACAAATGTCTGACCACTATCTGTACACTTGAAACTAATGTAAAATAATATTTAATGTCAACTGTAATTAAAGATAAATATCCTAGAAGTTGATGCAGATTGGAGACCCATACAATTACAATCCTTTGGATTAAGTCCAAGCTTCTGCTCAGGAGCTTGAGGAGGAACACCTGTTTTAGTGTACTCATGCTGCTGACCAAGAGGGGAAGAGGAGGAGGCTTGGGGTCCAGTTTTTAGCTGTTTTAATCCCATGGCCTGTCCTTAGAGTAGTGCAGTCTATTCTGGAGGACCCATCTCATTTCCACTTGGGTCTTTATTACTTGATTCTAGCCTTCTTCCTCAAAGTCAAAGGAAAACAATTTGGAGATAGTTTGGGGATTTGAGGAGAGTGAGTTGTCAGAGTGGAAAGAATGGGGCAACCATTCCATTTCCTGTTCACCTGCGCTATATGCTGTTTATTCTGATCAAAGTAACTTTTGCCTTTTATATAATTCTCCTCAAGTTTTATTTTTCCAGGTCCCTCTACAAGGTGAGACTAAGAGCAGAATAGATAATAAGATAATGTGAATGAAGAAATAATCAAAACCCCACAGCCTCTACACTATCCCCAGTGAATAAATAAATATGGTTGAAATGCAAGGGGTGTGACAAGCCAGGAAATGTCATGGTGTTGAGAGACTTTTTTTTACATCTTAAAACACTTGGTGGTAGATTTTAAAAGTGAAGAGGGCTATCCTTGCTTTTTATTATTTGTTACTTGTACCCTGATAGACTTACATTATCTATTATACTAAATAAACTGCCAAATTGGGATTCTTCCCTCTCCTCATTCCATATCTGATTAGAGACCTAACTGCCCTTTTTCTTTATGACAGCCACTAACTTAGTCTTGGCCCTCATCACATTACAAAAAAAAAAAAAAAAAAAAAAAAAAAAAGCGCCTTTTGTTCTTGAGTTATTACCCAAATATTTTACAAGTGCCTCATAAATAAAGATCATTGTATCTATCTTTGATGTCTTAGGATAGCTAGCATTAGACCATACAGAAAGGGTAGGGAAATTGATGTTTGTTGATTTCTTTTTTGATATTTTTTGTTCTGTTTTTGGTTTTAGATTCTAGACTGAAGAAATTTTGTGCCAAAAATAAAGTTGTCATCCTTGGCTTCGTCTGTGTCATAGCTGTGATTGCTTTGATCGCTGTGGGGCTGACCCAGAACCAATCATTGCCACAAAATGTTAAGGTAACTCAAATCTGTGTGTGTGTGTGTGTGTGTGTGTGTGTGTGTGTGTGTGTGTGGAGGCCTGGGCAGAGTGAAAAAGGAAGTCATAACAAGTGAGAACATACAGGAGTTGAAGTTCTGGCATCTTCAGGAGTAAGTTACTACCTATTGGATTAGAGAAGTAAAATGGAAATGGATGCTCATTCTGGAAGAGGGAATGACTTAAAACAATTAACCGTGGGAAGATAACTGTCTTTATGATTGTTCAGCAAATTAAATAAATAATAGAAACAAAGGTTTTATCACCACATCCACATCTGTGTTATACTGTGCTGATATTCTACTATCTAGTGCTGTATCTACTTCTTACTCATTGTTTCATTGTGGATGTGTCACAACACTGTACTCATTGTTCTTCTTACTTATTAGTTAAGAAGGTTCTTTACTATTTTAGTGACAATCCTTACTTCCACATTGTCACCAAAATAATTGGAAAGCTTTGTATAAAGCACTTTGGAAGTCAAAGATTGTCGGGAACATTTGGTCTTCATCTTCAAAATATCAAAAAACAAATCAAAATCAATCAAAAAGCCCAAAGAAACAAGTATCAATTAGAGTAATTATAAATGAATTCTTGGATAGATAGATTTCTTGTGAAAATGTATCCACATCTGAAGAGCTAGTTAATATCATTAAAAATAATTAGGGTAATTAACCCTGTTGTAATTTATTTCTCCTTCCTTTCAAACTCATCAAAGTAAAATTTCAAAGACATAACTATCTCACAAATAACTTGTAATATGGCCAATATTTTATTTAATTCATTAATTAGAAAGCATGTGGTAAATTTAAACTTATGTTGTAAATATACCATTTTAATCTTTCACTGAAATTACAGTGAATAATCTACAAGGATATACCAGACTATCCCGCTATGCTAATGAGCACATATGTGCATGTGGGTGGTAACATATACATTAGTTAACTTAATCATAGAGGCCCTGGACTACATGTGCAGAAGTATGTTGGTGTGTTTTTTTTTTGTATTTTTGAAGATATTAAATTGTGAGCCTGGCATGTGGATGCATATGCCAGGCTGCTGAAACGTTTGCCACATACCCAAATCACTTGCTACACAGCAGAGGCCTGCATGTTACATTGGCATCTGTTTGCCATACAAATTCAACTGGGACTGGGCACAGCAGCTCCTTTGTCAGCACGGAAAGCTGATACTATCTCATTGGCAATGATCTCTTGCCTTTTAATGTTGTGTGATGTCGGTTCTTTTGGCAAAACTTCACTCACAGTTGAAGCCTCATGACATCTCAGTTCTGTTATTTGTTTACCAGTTCCAAAAGTACATGATTGCCTTCTTGGTTTGACCTTTTTACATATTCTTTATTACATCATTGGAGAGGGGGACCACCAAGGAGGCAAAGTCCATGACAGACTTGAGCTCTTTGTTCCTAATGAATACTTGTCTTGGATGACCTTCTCTCCTCAGTGGTCATCTTAAAGTCTGTTGTGACTCATGTTGTTGTGTTGGCCTGGCAAAATGGAATAAGGTCTTTGGCATTCTTTAAATAAAAGGTATAAATATTCGACAAGCTGACAATGGCATCTGTAGTGAATCTTTATAGCAATATCACTGGTTTATTTTGCTCAAAGATTATTTTATATATGCATTGGTTGAGGTTATACAGTAATTCTAATAAGGTTCCTGGCATATATTGAGGGCAAATATATTTAGGAACTTGTCTTTGGTGATTGCTTTAAGCTATGTATGCTGTTGAATTTAATAGTCTTAAGCCACATGCAGCTCTTTCAATCCAAGTTAATGAAAATCAAACCAAATAAAAAATTTTGTTCTTCCTTTGCATTTTTAGCCACATTTCTAGTGCTCAACAGCTTCATGTAGCTGGTGGCTAAAGAATGAACAACTCACACACAGAACATTCCCATCACTGCAGAAAGTTCCATTGGACATTGCTGCTTTAGAACACACTCTCTGATAGTTTCTCTGAAATCACTCAAAGCTAAGTTTGATGAAGAAGGTGAATGATAAAACATGTTTAAAATCTGAAATTTGGAATAATTATTGAGACTTTTTATGTGTTGGTTGTAAATTAATACCAAATATCATGAGCTACTAAACTGTTTTGAGCAGTTTTTTTTAAATAAATATATTTCCTTCCAAAAATGATGAGTTAAAAATAACACATTTAGATATTCCTGTCTGGTACATTTGTTTAGAGCACACGTGTCAAACACAAGGCCCTCAGGCCAAATCCTTGATAGCATGTGAGTTGGTTAACAGCACTGTTAAGGAAAAGATTGTTCCACTCATTTTAAATTCACATTTCTGGTTAACATTGTCAGTTTATGACTGTTCAGTAAACTATTCGGCCCGCGATTTAGGCTGGATTTTAGATTTTGGCCCCTTCTCTGATTGAGTTCGACACCCCTAGTTTAGAGAGTTAAAAACCTCGATCAACTGCCTCCCACACCCTCCCCCCCCCAACTGGGGATGTGCCCACAACCAAGGTACATGCCCTTGACTAGAATCGAACCTGGGACCCTTCAGACCACAGGGTCTAGTAGTAGACACTCTATCAATTGATAGAGTGTCAGGTATTGGGCTACAGAATTGGGAATCCAATATAGCTATGATTGAGTTTATCATCTGGGGAAGGAAACGCATTTAATAGATGACACAAATTATTAGTTACTATTGTGATGAGTGCCACCAAATGAAAGTTTTGAGGACCAAGAAAGTCTTCCTTGAAAAACAAATGACATTAACAATAATATCTGAAGTATGATTAGAATTAGCTGGATGTAAAGAGCATTCTAGGCAGAAGGAAAGCAAGTGCAAGAATCCCACAGCAGGAAATAGCTGGATACATTCGGGAAGTTGGTTGGAGAGAGCTATGTGAAGGGTCATGTGTTGGATAAAGATGGTGAGGGAGTTGGTGGTGGCAGGGCCTTGCAAGTCAGCTTAAGGTTTTTAGTTTTAATACTAAGCCAATGGGAAGTCAATAACATGATCAGATTTGTGTTTGAAAAGATCACTCTGGCTGCAGTGAATTAGGGGGAGGAGGGATAAAAGCAGATACAGGAGATTAGGTAAAAGGCTATTATACGGTAGTAGTTTGGGAAAAGGCGAAGGTTTTGAGTTACATTTTTGAAGAATTGTTTTTGAGGTATTGAATATGCAAGTGGAAATGTCAAAGAAGCAATTGAATATTAAGCTCTGGATCTCAGAGAGGAGACCCGCCTGCTCAATAGGAATATTATAAGTCAATTTTAATTTTTCTAGGATCCACATTTTTAAAAAGTAGAGAAGGTGAAACTTTAATACTGTGATAACTGGGACAGTGAACTGAGGTTTTTTCCCCAGGGTTGTGTCTCAGAACGCCAAAGAATGAGCTCCGAGGACCAGAAGATTTAAGCAAAAGTGTGGAAAATTTATTACCAGCAGATTCAGAGTCCCCGGAAGGGGAGGGGCCCAGTAATGGGCTGCCTGTGAAGCCTAGTGGTCCAGGGGTGTATGTTTGCCACCTGCTGCTCTATGTCTATCTGAGGCGTCACCTGCCTGACTCCCTCATTGTTCTTGCCCAGCATAGACCTGAACTTCCCCTGTTTCTAAGCATCAGTTCATCTTATGGTTGCCAACCCCACCTAGTTTCACATGCCTCCTGCTTTGAATCCAAAAACATTTTGTTATTCCTGCTTGGTGGGTTTCTGTGATTAGGCGTACTCAAACTGTTGTCTGCCCCTGCCTATGTTCTACCTGCCTTTGCTTTCCACTGGACCCCTGCCCTGCCTGCATGTCAAGCTGATTCCTTTCAACTGTATTTTATGTAACTCAATATATCCAAAATACAGGGGTGGGCAAGGTAGGTAAAAAACTGTGCCTAAGTGTGCTTGAGAATAGCAAGTAGATTAGAGCAATGTGTAAATAATGAAGGCTAGCAATTTGAGCACTTAATGAGATTGTACCTAAGTTCACTCTGCCATTGTGAAATTCTTTTGAGTTAATAAAACTATTGTAACAATCATAGCCTGCATGTCTTTTACCTACAAACAACTGTAAACCTACTTTTGCCCACCCTGGTATTATTATTTCAACATTCATCACAGTAAAGAATTAATGAGATATTTTATACTCTTTTTTTCCCCATACTCTCTTAAATTTCCCTGTGATTTTTCACTTATAGCACATCTCACTTCAGATGAGTCACACTTCAGGTACTCAACAGCCATGTGTGGCAAATGACTACCTTATTGGACAGCACAGATCTAGACAAAAGCTATGTCTCTGAGATCATTGATGCACAGAAGCCTTAGAAATGAATGAGATCATAGGAAGTGGGTAAAAGGAGAAAAAGAAGACGTCAAGGATCTAGTCCTGAGGAATTTTCTGGTTTAGAGGTTGAATAGTAAAGGAATACCTCCTAAACCACAGTGATAACATTGCCTTATATAGCGCTATGGCTATGCGGTTTGTGAATCATTTCTACACTCAGTTCGATTTCTTCTTCCCAGAAGCGCTGTGAAGAATGAAAGATTATCTTCATTTATATATATGAAATCAATAAAAATAAATATTTAAAAAAATAAATAAAAAGGAAAGAAAAAGAATAATGCTAAATAGATTAAAGATTATCCTCATTATATATATCCTCTTGCCTAACCTAGTATTGGTTCAGCTTTGCTGGGCAGGTGTGGCCTCATGCCTGGGTTACTTCTGGCAAAACACAAGAACTCTTTAATGTAGTGATGTGTTTACATGTCCAACTACTAAGCATACTGAGGACAAGGACTGTGTTTCATTTTCTTGTAGTGACCACTTTAAAAAACATAGGCCTTAAAGAAGAATCATTATCTGTATCAAAGTGTCCTCTGAGGGAGTGCTTTTGTCCTGGTGAACCTGGGTGGGAGGCAGCTTTGAGGTCTACTTGGCTCACCACTTCCTTAAGTGCCTGCTCATCACTGAACCCTGGCAGTTAGTGAGTGCC